GGGTCTGTGCTCTCCCGTGGTAGGCTCAGGCCCGCCACCGGCGGACAGGGAGGGTGGGGGGGGGGGGGGGATCCAGGATCCCTGTGGCTACGGAGAATGTGCAAAGGGAGGTGAGGGCTGAAACAGGCAGAGAAGACTGCAATATCCAAGAAGTAAGAGTGGGGGTGTGAGAGGCAGATTCCAGAAATATCTTGAAGGTGGAGCCAAGACACTCTGCCACTGTGAAGATTGGATGTACACTGTGAAAATGAAGTTAATGGGTTTGATCTGAGAGGCTGGGAAGTGAAGTTACCTTCTGGGTCATGGAAACTAACAGGAGTAAGGCAGAGTTGGGGGTGATTGGGAGCCTGGCTTTGGGCAGATTAACCTGGTGACATCACTCAGGCTTGTAAACTGAAATGTCAGATTAGATATAGGGGTGTGAGGACGGCGGACAGGCCCAACCTGATGCTAACTGGGAAGTTAGATATTCTAAGGGAACGAGCCACACAGCAATGACCGGACTGCAAGCATTTAGGGAGTCAGAGGAGTAAGGGAAGGAGGTGCAAGAGGCATTCAGTGTCCTGGAAGCCAAGGGCAGCAAATGCTTCTAGAAAGAGGGAGGAGCTCTATGTCTGTGTATGCCTGTGCTACATACATGCATGAGTGCACTACACAGATTATGTGAAGAAAGTCAGGTAGGTTTTCGATCATTATACCATGATCAGCTCTGTAACTTGATTTTCTTCCCACCACATCTATTGGGAGTAGGGCCTCCTGGCAGTAGTAGCCATCTGCTCTGTCAAGTTAGTAGCTATGCAGTATTTCATGTGTGTATGGACCGCACTTAACTTTTCCTGTTTCCCCCCGATTATAAAATTGCAGATTACACAGTGATGGACATCGTGTGCATTTATCCTTTCACAGTTTCACAGTTGTGTGGTTGTGTCCTGGAGATGAATCCTGAGGGTGGGCTTGCTTTAGACCAGCATATACCCATTTTATGCCGATTCTAGACTCCCTCTTGGGAAGCTCCACGAATCAGGATGTATTCAACACGGACCAGCTGCTGACCTGGAGGAAGAACTGCCAGGACATGGATCTGCACAGATTGCATTCCAGAGACCCTTCCAAGCACAGGGAAGACATGAGATGGTGTGCGTGGCATCCCTAGTAGTAAGGAACCACCAGAGGCTTGGGTCAAGTCAGAAAGGAGCAAGACAGGAAGCAATCTGCCAGTTGGAGCTCCCTGCCTGATGCGTCCAGCGGAGACTGGCCTGTTAAGAACCACTCATCCATGCAGGGTGGAACAGCTTCCGAGCCCACAGATCTCCAGCTGAGCCACAGAGACTCTATTACGTCAAGAGTCAGCACAGCAGACTAAGGCAGATGTGCTTTCTGCACAACGACTGTAATTAACTCCAAATCTTTCCCCACACTTTATTCTGCTGGCTGCAGCTGTTGTTTGCTGTTCGAACAAGCCTACTACATACCTCAGATGTTTCTCTTTTACCTTGTCATTCTGAGCAAAAGCATGACTCCCTCACCTGTCTCGACACATACCGAGTCTGGGTGGTGTCAGCACGTCCTGCACTCTCAGCAGAGAACTTAAAAATAACACTTAGTGCCAGCCAGGCAATGAGCTAACAGCCCCTGCCATCTTCAGGAGCACCAAGGGACCACACATTTAGTTGTACAGCTCTGAGAATTCAGGACAATGTTCCAAGTTAGCTTTTGAGTCACAAGGATAAAAGAAAAATGCCAAGCCACACCCCAGATCCGTTTTTCCCTCCAAGGTGGGTTTGTAAACCACAACGACCCAGGTCTTAGGCTCCATTGCTAGCGCCAGGGCCTCAGGAACCAGAGGCAAGTGGCACTCATGCAGGGGGAACTATGCTCATACACTGGTTTTTAACGCATTGGCAGAGCCCAATAGGGATGAATCTGGTAGCAAGGAGTTTGAAACACTTAAGACTGTGTGGTCTGGCCATAGCTTCTTATGTTCTTGACATGCAGGGGCCTTTACTCTGGGACATTCCTCTACCTGGAACAGCAATAAAATCACAACCTCCCCCTATCCCATTCTACTCTGAGTGACATCTAGTCTAGCTAGGAAGTCAACAAGGAGGGTTTGCATGTCATGGCTAAGACCAAGGTCACCGTATCTCACAGCAAGTGGAAAGCAGTCAAATCCTATTCCCCCAGTGAGTATGATAATGTTTATTGTGATATCACAAACATGCAAGCCCCACACAATGTCTGTGCTCATAGACTGGGATGAACAGCTCCTTGACTCTAGCTCTGTGGGCCTCTGCTCAGAATGCCATGTAGTAGTGGTCCCTGGTGCTAATGATGTCACTCTGGTCCTCTAGGAGCTCTAGCACCTGCTGCAGCACAGCTTTGCTTAGGTCCCGGTGGAGGCTCAGGCGTGCACAGGCCAAGATGTGCATCAAGTGGCAGCCCTTTTCTACATCTGTGGGGAGAAAAAGGCAGGTGCTAAGTGTGGTTATGATCATCAGGCCCTCCTCTATCCCTCTCCAAACCCCCCAGGGCCAGCACGGACAGAGTGACAAGATCTCTGGATAATTCTTCCACACATTAAAGTCTGAAGTGTATGAGTCTAGAAGAACACAAACAATCTGTTCTCAGGCTCCTCATGCCCCCACAGTGGTATGGCCCACCTCTCAATGCTCTGACCTTCAGCCATCAAGGATTCTCAATCAGTAATTGCATGTCTATGATCTAATAGGTGTTTTGTGCTTAATAAACTTTTTTCTCTGGTACCATTACACACGGAAGTATACACACTTAGTATTGAACCTCTGGCTTCCCAGGCAGAGACCTCTTGAGAGTCACAGCAGAGCTGGTCTTTCCTAGAAGTCCTGATTTGATGGCACACCCATAAGACAAGGGGTTCCTACCTTTAGCCTGTCACATGCCTGCCCACCTGGCTTCCATCTGGGTCTTCTCTGTGACAACTGTAGTCTAGTAAGCTTTTACTTTCAACCACAAACAGACCACTTGGGTATCCAAGTGATGAAAGCTGAGGGTTGGCAACCCCCATCCCGTTCCTTGGTTTTCACACCAAGGGTTGTGGCTCCTTTCTAATGTGGTTCCCCACTGGGGGATCATTAAGTCTACTTTCATAGGCTGTGATTAGCATTCTTTTGTTCTTACCAAGCAGCCTAAAATAGACTATAACAGAAAAATTAGAATGTATTGCATTATAATTATATTTTGTCATTTTACCTCATATAAACAGCTTTTAACATAAAACATCGCCCTGAGTCAAAGTGGAACCTCATCACTAAAAGCAAGCTCTTCCTAGTCTGCCTGGCAGGGCCACGTGCAGCTCCAGCACCGGCAAGCACCGGCAGCTCTGCAGCCACTGCAAGTGGTTTTCACATGGTAGCACTGGGGCTTGAGGTCCCTGGAAGGTGCTCACAGAATGCTCCAGTGTGGGGCAAAACATAGCTGACCGTCATGCACTTCTGCAGCCTTGAGCAAGTCACAGCATCCCAAAGAATTAGTTTTCTTACTGATGGCTGGAGGACAGGAACCACCTGATATCCTCCCAAACTCTTAAGGTCCTGGCCTAACAAAGATTAGATGGCACCCTCTAGTGGCCGAATCCATGTATTACTCTTCATTGGTTTGCTGTTCTCCTATTTCTGGGTTTCTTTATCCAACATTCACTGGGTCAAGATTTCTTGAACACATGTTGCATGTGTAGCACTGAGCAGGGAGGCATATGCGGAATGTGCCCAGTGGAGAAATGACACCATAGCCCACCAGACCTGAGTGCAAATCCCGACTCAGCCACTGGGCAAAGTGGCTTCTACTCAACAGGATGCATGGGATAGGAGACTCAGGGTAGGTGCATCCTATGTAAGGAACGACTAAGATTCTACATTGCACCCATGACCTAAAGGGATACACACATGTCCATCCTTGCCTAAAAAAGCCATGGCCCTCCCCTAGAAGAAAAAGATGGTAGGTGAGCTTATGATGGCAGTGGGAAACAACTAACGAAACCAGCACTTGTACATGTGCTCGAGCACGTACACACACACAGACACACACAGACACACAGACACACACACACACCCGCACATGCCTGGTACTCTCCACATAGTTCAGGCTGGCCTCAAACTCATGGCAATACTCTTGCCTCAGCCTCCTAAGTTCTGGGATTACCAGCAGGTTCCACCATGCCCAGCTGAAAAAAAAATCACTATGAGGTAGTGTCATGAACAGAAAATACAACTGCCCTTGATAGGTGGTATGTGAAGTTCATCTGTGGTGATCATCTAGTGAAATGATGTCTTTTGAGAACCCATCAAATGTCAGTTTTCTTGGACACAACACTGATAGGGTGGACATAGGGGAGAATGTCCTTAAGCTTAAGAGCACAAGTTCAGTGAATCTAGGTGAAAGGCACATGAGCTTTTTTTGTACTGAGCTTAATTTTTCTGTATGTAAGAACAATTTCAGAGTAAAAAGGCATTTTTAATATAGAATTTTTTCTTTTTGGATAATTTGCCATTTATTATACCATACTTTAACTGAAACCCAGAGTTTTTAAGCATTTAAGTTTTTAGCCCACTAATAATAGTGCAAAATCCACACACAGATTCCATCTGAAATTGCTTGCTCCCATTTCAACATTAAAGCAGAGAGCTAGTCAGCCTTCTAACACCAGGGTGCCATTAGGAAAGGGAATCTCATTTTTCTCATCCTTTTTTAGCCCAAATCATGTGCTAAGGACTCTTTAAACAACTTTATGAACTCTAATTCACTTACATCTCATAATGACCTCTCAGAGAGGTTCTGTTATGTCCTGCTCTTAACACAAAGAGTCTGAAGCAGACTCGCCCAAGGTGACGCAGACTTCACAAAGTGGCAGTGCTGGGGACTCAGGAGCCTAGATCTTCCTGATGTCACGTGGTGTCCATCTCTAGACAAACTCCTGTTAGTCCTTCAAGGATCTAAAACAGGCTTGGTGTGTGCAGTCCTTCCTGTACTGTGGACTCGGCCCTTGCTCAGTCACTCATAAATGAATGGGGAGTCCAGTTCTCCTAGCTATCACCCGACAAGGAAAATCTCACCATTTTATACGAAAGGTAAGAAATGAGCTAAATGCTCAGTAGGAATGACAAAATGGTCAACTAACCTTTCTGGACAAGTGGGGAATACTGCAAAGTTATTAAAAAGACTGAGGCCCTTTTCCATGTACAATGCTACTGCCAATGACCTCTAGAAGTCAGCGCTGGATGGGAAATATAACGTGGAGACACTAGATAATAAGCTAACCTTGGGTCTCTAAAACAGATGGACTCTACAAGTGCCCAGGGCATCACTAGAAGGATGCTGGCTTGGTGTGAAGAGAGAGTCTGACTTTCTCTGTACAATTAAAAATTTTATTATATTTAATTTTTTATTTTTATTTTTTAAATATTTTATTATTTTTTAAAATTTTATGTGTATGAGTGTATCGCCTGCATGTATGTGAGTGCACCCATGTTGTGCAATGCTGTGGAGGTCAGAAGAGGGCTTTGGATTCCCCTGGAACTGGAGTTAAGGACGGTTCATAGCTGCCATGTGGGTGCTGGGAATCAAACCCAGATCTTCTGCAAGAGCAGTCAGTGCTCTTAACCACTGAGCCATCTCTTCAGCCCCTGCATTTTATTATTATTTTATGTCTGTGAGTGTACTGCCTGCATGTGTATAAGAGCACCCATGTCCTGCAATGCTTGTGGAGGTCAGAAGGAGTCAGATCCCCGGAACTGGAGTTATGTGGGTGCTGGGAATTGAACCTGGGTCCTCTGTAAGAGCAGTTAATGCTCTTAACCTCTAAGCCATTTCTCCAGCCCCCCTTTTTTTTTGAGACAGGGTCTCCTTGTAGCCTCAGTTATAGTTCTCAGTATGAACTCATAGAGATCTGCCTCTGCTAGGATTAAAGCCATGGGCCACTAGGCCCATGCATTCTGCATTTTTGCTCTGCTTCACTTCCTATGATTTATATACATTATTATTCAGGATAATCATTTTAGTGGCATAGGTTATGATACTAGGAAGACGAGTGTCACAGAAGCTGCTAACAGAGTTCCTATGAGCTCTCTCACCAGTATTCTGTCAAACAGAATTCAGCGCCCAGGAGTTATTTGACCCAGATGATTGGCATGTGGCTTTTAGAGGTTCCCATATACAGATCAAGTGATAGGGCCTGTTTGCATTGACACTCACCAGGCAGGAGCTGGCCCACAGGTGTTTGTAAAAGGAGGTCAGAGGACAACTTTTCAGGAGTCAGACTTTCACCTTGTTGAGCAGCATCTCTCATTCTTCTGCTGCACTGTGTGTTCCAGACTACTTGGGCCATAAGCTTCCTGGAGATTCTCCCGTCTCTGTCTCTTATTTTCCAAGGAGTGCTAGGATCACAGATGTGGGCTAATGAATCTAGCTTTTTAACATGGGTTCTAAGGATCTGAACTCTGGTGGTCAGGCTGCACAGCAAGCACTCTGACCCACTGAGCCAGCTCTCCAGCCAAACCTGTCACCCTTGCTGCACCTCTGGTCACTAGGCTGTCAGGTCCTTCTAAGGAAGGAAACATGAACTCCTCTCCTCTTTACCAAGTGCCAGGCTTTAAACCATTCCCATGCAGATCAAACTAAGAATGTGGCTGAGGGGGCTGGGGTGCAGAGTAGAAAAACAGCATTTTGGGAGCACCTTCTTTTCCTTTGTGGCCAAGGATCCTCATATGGAACTGTTCTTCAATGCTAGGAAAAGAAGGTGCTCCCAAGATGCTGATCCTCCACTGCTGGCAGACGGGTTTTCCCTCAATGAAAAGATGTTTATTTGGTTTTGGTTAAGACAAGTCCTGTGGGCTGGGAAGATGGCTCGGCAGGTAAGAATGCTTTCTGTGCAAGTTGTTTGAGGACATCAGTTCAAATTCCCAACATCCAAACAAGAAAAGCCAGGTGTGGCTGCATATGAGGCCGTAACTCCAGTGCTGGGGGGCGGGGGTGGGGGACCATGGGACGAGGATCACTGGGCTTCCTAGGACTTGCTGGCTGCCAGCCTAGAGCTAGGTTCAGTGAGAGACCATCTCTCACTCGGAATAAGGCCAAGTGTGATAAAAGCAAGACATCCGAAGTCTTCCTTTGGTTTCCATGTGCAAACAATACACACACACACACACACACACACACACACACACACACACACACACAGTCTCTATGTAGATCAAGCTGGCCTCAAACAGTGGATCTTCCTGCCTCAGTCTTCTAAGTGCTGGGATTACAGGAACATACTGCCAGACCTGGCCAGGATGCTTGTTCTTACTGTTCTGAATAAATAAAATAATACTCATTCACTAAAATTACAGACCAGTTGTCATACCACTTTGGGTTCTGACCTCATCGGGTCCTAAATACCAGGGCAGACGACCTGGCTCAACAATGCCTGCTGACTCAGACTGAGCAAGTCCAGGCCCTGGTCTGTCTGGGCTGAGGAGTAAAAGACTTTTCTAGAGAAAAAGAAAACAGGATAGGAGAAGTGGCACCAGCAGCAATCCTCTCTGTTCCCAGGATCATGTGTTGACCTAAGTCAATATTTGTTATTGGCTTATGTTTGCAAAAGGCAGACTCAGAAAAGTCACCTTGAAGACTGACCGGTTTACATAGGATTTAAATACAGGTCTGATACTTCTCTTTCTAATTAGTGTGAAAATGTCAGGCTCATTTTGAGACTAGCTTCAGTTCCAGGGTCTAGCCACTAGGGGCTGACCTAACTCCACAAAACCATTTTATTTGCAACTTAAGTTTCCAAAATGCCTGAATTACATCATTCAAGAACTGCAATGTCTAGAACCATTCTGCTTAACACTGACAGGCCTTGATGTTAGACATGGGGGGAGATGTCAAGTTTATGTTCAAAGGCGAGTGGTAAACATGGAGGGCAAACAACACAACTGAGAGATCAGGGGAACCAGGAAAGCATCTCGAAGCCTTAGCTTGGTGGCACACCTCAGTGTGTCAGAAACCCCTGGGGAGCTCACTCATAGACCCCTACGGGATCAGAAACCCCAGGGGTGGGACATGGTGCTGCGTATTTTAAAGCTCCATGTAGCCAAAATCCCAATAGCTATGCCAGCATCACATGTGTTAGAGAGGAAACTAAGGCTCTTGAACAGGAGCCCAGCTGTCTCCTTTCCAAGTCAGCAATGGGAAAAGCTCCAGTCTCCTAACTGACTGTCCAGCTCTGGGGAGGGAACCCAGAACAAGCTCAGCACCTGTACCTTATGACACTTACGATTTGGTTTCTGGCAGTCTTCCTGAATGATTTTGCGGATCTTTTGGTGCAGGTCTTTGTCTTCTCTGGTTACCTACATAAAAGAGTCCAGAGAAAATATGCTGTTATGGGGCTGAAGAGATGGCTCAGTGGTTAAGAGCACTTGCTGTTCTTGTGGAGGACCTGGGTTCAGTTCCCGGCACCGACATGGCAGCTAACAACCATCTGTAACTCCAGTTCCAGGGGATACAACATTTTTTCAGGTTGCCAAGGGCACTGCACACACTGGTGCACTTACATATATGAAGGCACACACTCCTACACATAAAATAAAAATAAATCTTAAAAACCAACCAAACAAACAAAAACGCTGTTAGGGAACACAGCAGTGTATTGCCCAGATCCCAAATCAGCATGTAGGGTAGTTCTGCAAACTTCACAACAATCATCCTCTCCACCCCAGGAATGAGATTTGGATACTTGGCCTGTTGCAAACCAGCTCTGTCCCTAAGCAGTCACTGCTGAGGAGCTAGCTGGGCCACATACTCTCAGGAGCCAGTTCATCGGGGCCATGAGGTTAAATAAAACTGGTATTCTGTATCTTAAAGGAGCAATTTTTATTTCCACACTCGAAACCCACTCATAACATTTCTCTTCCTTGCTGTAATATTTTTGAAGGGGCCACAAGTGCTCAAAGCCTCTGACCTTTATCTTAACACTCCTTCCTCTGGGCTCTGACACCTATCTTGTGTTTCTTTAGTTTCTCGCCTACTAAACACAGGAAAAATTAAAGAAGAAATAATCATGGAAAAGCTAGCAAGACAGTAAATGTAGTCTATCTGTTGAAATACTTCCTGCTCTTGGAGGCAGATATAACCATGTTTCTTTCTCAACTAGTTTTGGTAGTAGAAAAACAGCCATCAAACAAGTCTCACCCTCAGGTCCAGTAGTAAGTCTAATAATGAGAGAAGAGAGGGAAGGAAAGGGCAGAAGGGGGGCGGTTGGAAGAAAGGAGGGAGGGAGAGAAGAGAAGAAACAGAGGCGGGAGAGTGGGAAGGAAAGAGAGAGGAAAAGAAAGAAGGGCGGAGGGAAGGAGGACGAGGAGGAAGGACAGAAGGAAGGAGGGAAGGACAGAAGGAAAGAGGAAGAAAAGAAAAAGAGAGAAAGGGAGGGAGGAGAGGGAAGGAGGGACGGGGAAGAAAGGAGAGGGGAATGAGGGCAAGGAGGGAAGGGGAAAGAGGGGAGAGAGAGGACGCACCTAAGCATGTAAATGCACAACTGCAAATTTGGACTGTAGAGACAGACCATGAACATCTGTGTGCCCTGACTTACAGAGTGGGGGCACTTGTAACATCTGATGTCTTTCAATTTACAAGGTTACTGTGACAATTAAATGTGGTGAGACATCAGAGCTGCTGAAATCTGAACAAACAGAAGTATTAGCACTGCTATGATAACCGTGTCCCCAAAGCTGGGCACAGGAGAAAGGAAACCCACAAAGCAGGCAGTGAGTAGAAGGGGCGGGGTGCAGCCACAGAAGGGGACGAGATCTATTCTTGTCTGATCGCCTCCTCTTCCAGCTCATGGCGATTCACAGGAGGAAGCGCCCAGCCCTGCCACACCTCACCCTAGGCAGCTACAGAGGCCTTACTGCTTCCCAGGAAAGCTGCGCTCTACAGACCCTCACAGACGTCAACCCCAGAACCTACAGGAACACGTCTCCAAGAGGGCTGGGGTTGAGCTGCCCAGCTCAGCTTGCCAATGGCCACCACCTCCCATCTGGCCCTCCTGGGTGGACTGCCTCTCCCACAAGTTACTCAACAGCACTGTAAACTCCTCCTACTCTCCAAAGAGGAAATACCCTGCTAAGGAAACCTTCCTCAAGGGAATTGCCTGTAAGTAGCTGACTTCCCTTAAGCCACACCTCTACTGTTGACACTGTGGCACCAGCAGGCCGGTTCTCATAGCTCCTCCTGGATGCAGCAAGAGGCAAACAACGGCCATGCCAGTGCTCTTGGTGGGAGGCTTGCCAGGTAGGGCCTTCAGGGACGTCAACTGGACTGTGCCACCTGAAAGCTTTAACCAAGTGTCCTTTGCTCCTTAAACTTTCCTTCAAGAGTCAATCTTGCAGAAATACTGACATGAATTCGCAAAGACAGCTGTGCAGAAAGGACCATGGCAACAGTACTTGTGACAGTACAAGTTAGATACCCCATAAATGTTCATCACAAAGGAATGGCTAGAAAATTCTGATAAGGATTCAGAGTATGGAATATGAGGTGTTAAGGAAAGTGAGGCAGATTCACAGGTACTGGCAAAGGCACCAGGGATGGACTATTGTGGTACCAAAAAAGGTTACTCAGAACAATAGTTCTCAATTGCCCCAGAAGACATTTGGCAATGTCTGAAGACACTTTTAGTTGTTGCAAAAGGGGAGGTGCTACTGGTATCTGATGAGTGAAGGTCAGGGATGCTAACTTCTGTCAATGTGTGGGACAGTCCTTACAACATATAATCCTCTGGCAAAATGGTGCTGAAGAAGATGGTTCTCTTTTTTTGGGGGGGGTGTCTTTCTGAGACAGGGTCTCCCTATAGCCCCAGCTGGCTTGGAACTCACTATGTAGACCAAGCTGGCCTTGAACTCATAGAGATCCGCTACCTTTGCCTCCCGAATGCTGGGATTTAAAAAGGCATGTGCCACCACACCCACTCGAGGATGGTTCTTGAGTTAGAAGATGACTGCATTTTCTCTGGTAAAAAAAAATACATATAGGAGCATATTTCTAAATGTATGCATCTGTGAACACACAGACAAATATTTATAAGGCAGCTTGGGCCTGGTGGAGTGGCACATGCTTGTAATCCCAGCACTGGAGAGATGGAGGCAGAAGATATAGTGAGTTGGAGGCTAGTCTGGGCTACACAGTGAGTTCCAGGATAGTTTGGGATACAGGACAAGATGAGGTCTCACAAAACCAGAGATAAAGGCCAGAGAGATGGCTAGGTGGTTGAGAGCACTTGGTACTCCAGAGGACCCAAGTTTGGTTCCCAGTACCCAGGTCAGGTGGTTCACAACCTCCTATAACTCTAGTTTAAGGGGATCTGACACCCTCTTCTGACCTTTGTGGGTACCTGCACACATATGCAGACACACAACACATATACGTAAGTAAAAAGAAATCTTAAAACCAAAGATAAAATATATATATAGCTTGGGGAAAGGTAAGAGCTAACTTTCACATCTGACTTTATGTGCTTCTTAATGATTTTAAAAAAACACACATATATTCATAAGTAATAAATGTATTTGCAATTGAAGCTATGAAGGCGAAAAAATTAAAAAATTAAAATTGCAGGTCTCTTACATAGTATAGGTTATCAAAACTATCATCTTTCTGGAACACGAGTCCTTTTTCCTGTAGCAGCATTATAGCATTCTTAAATATACTATGAATTGCTTTGGAAGTGGTGTTGTTCTTTAATTCCACCTGCACAGGGAGGTAAAAGAAAAGAAAAAGAAATAAATCCTGTCTTCTATCACCTATGAGCAACTCCTCAGACCAACTGGTTTATGAATTCACCCAACTGGCTTTACATGTGCTGAGTCAACATGATCCAGGTATGTGACAATTGAGTCAGATGGTATTTAGGCAGGGCTGGAAGTTTGCTCTGGAGGGTCACACTTGATAACTGTTCCATACTTCAGTTGTGATTTGTTTGTTTAATGTGATGACCTACAGTGTTAAGTCACAGCTTTGCCCTCTTACCGCTGGATAATCTTTTACATACAATCTTCCAGCACCTTTAGAAAAGTCAGCTTGGCAGGGAGAGGGCACATAGGCCTAGGAGAGTAAGGGCAGTTGCAGCTATGACCAGGGAGGACTCCGCAAAACTGGCTCTCAGTAAACACAAACAATATGTGAAGCTTCCTTTGCAGAAACCTCTGCCTCATGTGACCTCGGGATGGGCTGTACTTCTCTGCCTGTTTTAAAGATCATGGTCCTCTGAGAGCAAAGACTCCAGGGGTCTCTCCTGTAAAGCCAGCAGCTTCTCAAACTGGGATCTGTGTCTTGCTTATCCTTTTCAAAAGAACAATGACAGACTTGCGAGATTCAGGAAACCAAAATTGCTCACAGACTGAAGCAGGGACTCGGCTCAGGCCAGGAACTTCCTGAAATATATATAGTCTGTACTCCCAAACAAACTCAACATTCATCCAGCTGTCAGAGAAACAATGGCTTTGCAAGATCTGCTTATCATGTTTCTGAATTTGCTAAGAAAGGCCACTCATAGGGAAAAGAAAAGAAGAAAAGAAAAGACAGGGGGAAATAAGCTTTCATGTGTGAGACAACAGAGTGCTAAAGAGACTCGGGTTTCACCATCACTGTCAGCATCTTTAGTCTCCCAAAGCTCTATTAAATGGAATTTAGTTGAATGACACTGACCTCCCTGAGCACTGCAATGTGACCACTTAATTCATAATTGATGGAAGAAACCATTTTCAAAGAAAAACAAATACAGCATTGCACTCGTTTCTTTTTAAACACACAGCACTAGTTGGGCACAATTTTCTGCTCTAAGCTTTCTCAAAATCATATGTCAAAACTTCCCCCTTAGAACACTCTGACTCGGGGAGTCCTTAATTATAGCCATCACCTGAGAGCTGGCTCCGTATGAAGAAGGTAATTCTCAATATGATCCATACGTGTTAACCCTGGCAGCCAGGCATTGTGGCACACACCTGAAATCCCAGTACACAGGAGGTTGAACAGGAGGACCATGAATTTGAGGCTACCCTGAGCTATATGGCAAGTTTCAGGACAGCCTGGGCTATAGAACAAGAGCCTGTCTCAAAATGAGGGTTGGTGAGATGGCTCAGCAGGTAAAGGTGCTTGCTGCCAAGCATAAGAACTTGCTGCCAAGCTTGACAATCTGAGTTTGATCTCTGGGACTGACATGGTAGGGGGAGGGAACTGACTCCCTCAGGTTGTCCTCTGGTCTTTTCACTCATGTAATGGCATCTATGCATGCACACACACACAAAATAGACAGCAATAAAAAAGATCTTAAGAAAAAGGAGAGAGGGAGGAAGACAGAGAAGAAGAATGCAGTCAAGGGAGGGAGGGGAAAGTGAGGAGAGAGAGGGAGGCAGGCAGGGAGATTACTTGCAAATACACAGAGAGCCACAAGTCCTGGGAGGTCAGTTTGGCTTTGAGCCTACTCTAAATGATTAAATGGGAAGAAGGTCAATGGGAAATGGACAGATGGAAAGCCACAATTGTTTAGAAGCAACCCTGGCAAAGAACAAAGAACACAGACATGACCTTCTCCACTTGAGCGTTTTCTGAAACGCTATCCCTCATCTCTCTGTATGAAATCCTGGTCATTGGGCACATAGCCTGTTGCCAGGAAGAGGTAATAAGGTTCATGAACAAAACTGAGAAGCAAGGATCAGGCCACAAGGCTGGGATGGTGACCGGGTATCTGTTCCACCAGAATACCATGCAGAATAAGTTAGGTTTTTAGTAAGAGCATTCAGAGCAGCCTGGCTGGGAGTGAAATAGAAGAGTAGAAAATGTGGGGACTGGGCTGAAGAGTTAGCTTGGTGGTTAAGAGCACTGGCTGCTCTTACAGAGGACCCAGAGTTGATTCCCAGTACCAACACGGCAGTTAACAACTGTCCTAACTCCAGTTCCAGGGGATCCAACACCCTCTTCTGACCTCCACAGGCATTGTATGACATGGGTGCACTTAACATATGTGCAGGCAATACACTCAGACACATAAAATAAAAATAATAAATAAAAATTTTTTTTAGTCTTTTTGAGACGGTCTCCCTGTAGCCCCAGCTGTCCTGGAACTCACTATGGAGACCAGGCTGGCCTTGAACTCACAGAGATCCACCTGCCTCTGCCTCCCTAGTGCTGGGATTAAAGGCGTGCACCACCATGCCTGGCCAAATATAATATTTTTTTAAAAAAGAAAGAAAGAAAATGTTGGGACAGTCCCATAATGGAGACCGGTTATTGTGTACAAATCAGTTCTTGGGTACGGATAATGAAGAGGTTTTAGATAGTGGCAAATCTCTATGTACTACCAGGGAAGCATCAACAGGACATGCTGCTCACTGACAAGCTAGGTCTCCTAGAGCCTACAATTGCGTTACCATGTGGGTAAAAGGAAGGAACACAACTACCTACTGTTACTATAAACTCAGATCCAAAAGCAGATTCAGGAGTCTAGCCCTGGTCTTTGGAGTCAGGAAGAGGGTAGGTGAGAGGATGGGAAGGAAACCTACTTTCAATTCTCCAGGACTGTTTATTTGAATGTTAGAAATCCATTCATTTTTTTAAAAAAATAGTAAATAACTGTAGTCTGCCTTTTCCAGCCCTGTGAGGGTCTAAGTAGCAAAGAACAAGGCAAACAGGGTCCTTGTTCTCACAGGTCTGAAATTCTGGTGGGGGAATAGGTGGGCAAACAAGTACATGCCAGTAACATCACAGATAGGATGCAACAGGATGCTGATGATGGGGGGCAAGTGGCAATTCAGAGCAGGTAGGCAGCCAGAAGATGACATGTAACCTGAGATTACTTATTTGCTTAAATAAGTCATGCCTTTCCACTGTGCCGTTCTCCTACACTGGAGGAAGTCATGGCGCCCAGCCGGAATGGCATGATCCTGAAGCCCCACTTCCACACGGACTGGCAGCAGTGAGGGAACACTTTGTTCAAACAGCTGGCAGGGAAGATCTGCAGATGCAAGGCTCGACAGGCAAAAGCATGCTACGCTGCCCCTTGTTTTGCCCATCCAGACCATAGTGAGGTGCCCCACAGTAAAATACAACACCAAGGAGGTCCGAACTGGCAGGGGCTTCGGCTTGGAAGAGCTCCAAGTGGCCAGTATCCATAGGAAGGTGGCCCACACCATCGGCATCTCTGCAGACCCAAGAAGGCCGAACAAGTCCAAGGAATCCCTACAGGCTAATGTGTAGGCTGAAGGAGTAGCATTCTAAGCTCATCCTCTTTCCCAGGGAGCCTTTTGCTCCCAAGAGAGACAGCTCTGCTGAAGAACTCAATTGGCCACCCAGCTAACAGGACCAGTGATGCCCATCCAGAATGTCTATAAAAAGGAGAAAGCCAGAGTGATCGCAGAGGAAGAGAAGAACTTTGAGGCTTTGTCAGTCTCTGCATGGCCTGGGCCAGCACCTAGATCCTTTGAGCAAAATGGGCCAAGATGTTGAGAAGAAAAAGTAATGCTCTGTTGGAGCATTATAATAAATTTACAGTAAAGTGAACAAAACAAACAAAAATAAATGAGTCACGTAAAACAACAAACCTCAGAAAAGTAATAAAAGGGAAAACCTAAAACCCAAACTCTCAACTGGTCTTGATTTCATATGGATACAAACCACCAAAGCAACCAAACAAGCCTGCCTGGAACACTGTGGGTACAAGACTGGGGAAAGGCAAGGCTTTACCAAGAGGAACGGAAAAGTTCTTTGGCATTCTTTGAAATTTTCAGTTGTAAATCTGACTCACTACAACTTAGTCTTTATTTAAATTCCTACAAGAGGACAGATTAACCCTTTTCTAAAGAAGAAAGAGCAAGTCATTAAAAACCCTGATTTAGGTTTAAGAATCATCTTGCTAATCAATAAATCATCTTGTATGAAGGGTAATTACCTCTTCCTACCTCTTTCCCCCTCATTTGGTTTGTGCTGGGATTAAATACCCGTCTCAGTGAGTACTAACAGCTAGGTGCTGTGACCTTAGTCTATTATTTTTCTACTCAAACATTAAGTACAATGTGATTAAAAGGAGAAAAGGGACAGGTTCAGCCTCATTTAAAATTCCTAGTGGTCAATGACCTTTCCAGAATAGAAACAACATGTGTTAGAACCATGACCTCTTCTCCTCTGTGGGTCCACCCTGTGAGTCTTAATGTCAGTCACCCACACCCTTCAGCCTTTAGCCACAGGCTTGGAGCAGAGGACTTGAATTCTCCTGTGAGCAGGCTGCACTTACTTGGTCAGGGCAGGTACTCTCAATCACAGGCTGACTGGCCAGGGACAGTAAGGACTCCACCATTTCTAACTCCTGCTGGTAGAAGCTTTGCACTCTCTTCTCCTCAAGGAATTCTTTGACTTTCTCACTCAACAAAGATGTGAGACTCGCGAGATCCAAAGTGCCTGGATTGCTGCTGGGGCAAAGTTTTAAAAAGCCTTGCAGAAAACTATCACCTCTGTTCCTTTCAGTGTAAGACAGTGAGTTAGGAGATGTCATTCTATTCTGATGCTTTTTTATTTTTCCTAACAAAAGATAATTTATATAGTTGCCATTGTTTGAGAATTGACAGACATTCATAATAGATGAGAAAAAGCCAAGAAAAGCATAGAGGGGGGCTGGAGAGATGGCTCAGTGGTTAAGAGCACTGGCTGCTCTTGCAGAAGACCAAGGTTTGGATCCCAGCACCCACATAGTGGCTAACAACCATCCATAACTCCAGTTCCAAGGGATCCAATGCCTTCTTCTGGTCTCTGCAGACACTGCATGCACATGGTATACTTATATACCTGCAGGCAAAACACTCATACAGATTTAAAAAGAAAGTTAAAGAGAGGGCTGGGGGTATAGCTTAGTGGTACTGCACCAGCCTAGCATGAGTGGGGTCCTGTGTTCATTTCCTAGTGCTGCAAAAAAAAAAAAAAGGATGTGTGTTGGATCAATGAGTTTATAGTTTTCATCTGATTTGGCAAACTTGCAGTCACTTAGTATTTTTTCTATGCCCTCCTTCCATTCCTTTAGGAACTCTAATTATAATATACTTGCATTTCCTTCACAAGAACCCTAGAACCTTTGTACCATGGTCATCTTCACTTTGCAGAAGAGGAAACTGAAGCATAGAGGGTTGGAGTCTCACAGTGCTCTGGTGGACACTTCAGGACTGGCATACCAGCCAACCCTAGCATCTGGCTCCCACCTCTGGGTCCCCGTGCTGCTGTCATGTTCTCCACATGACAAAGCAGAACTCACCTCAGTGCCATTTCTTTCTTCAGGGCTGGGCTGCAGAAGGGCTGGTCATAAACCCTCCGGTAGAGAGCTGGCAGCTCAAGCATCCTTCCAATTTGAATACTCCACATTGGGTCATTCACTTTATCTATCAGCCCCAAGAAAAAGACACCACAAATATATCATGAGAACACAGCACTTATGTCTAAATTACAACTAGGACAGTAATCTAGAATCACAGGATGGTTTTCAGCCATCCTGTAAGAGGGAGGCAGGCAGAACAAACAAGTCTGGGTTACATCATCAGTGATAGTGATTCATGTGTTATGCTGGTGGACCATAAGGGCTGCCCTTGGGACTTTCGGCTGAAAACCAGCCAGCACAGTGCAAAGGGGGAGATTCTGGACATCTTATTTCTAATTAGCTATTTTCGTTAAAGTTAATGGGCTTAATAGTGTTCAAGAATTTCCATCATATGGAAGAATCAGAACACTCTGCTCTAATGGACTGACATTTAGAATTTCAAAGTACTTCAGAAACTGTGATGCTATCCAAATAAACTTGCCAACTATAGAGTCATTCATTCATTTTCTCCCAATTTGCCCATAATTAACATTCTTCAAAATAAAATTAAGAAATGCTGCTTTTCTAAAAACAGTGCCCTAAATATAATTTCCTCCATTAGAATGAAATCTTAAACGAACCTTTTGCAAGTCTGACTTTGAGCTAAACAAGCATTTACAGAACACATACCCAGAATAGCAACTAACTCATTTGGCAGAAACCTCATGTGCTTACAATAAATGATGGCATGAATTTCTCGCTTTTCTCTGAACGTGCGGACATGGCCTCTGACTTGGATGAGATCCCCAATTGCTATCTTAGTTTTCTGCTCAATGGTTTCCTGTAGTTTCTTAAGCTGTGAGGTCATGCTTAGCTCTCTTGCTGTGCCTGGAGCAGCTGGGACTGTAAGGACCAATAGAAAAGAGAGAGAGGCATAACCAAGCATTCCTTCACCCTGGGCACTCAGATTGAGGGTCAGACCAGCCCGATACATTTGCGCTCCTTCTGATTAGGCACTCTACTAGAGGAGATCTTCATAACCTTCTGAAATCCTCTACTCAATAAGAGACATAAGCTGTAATTATTGAAAAACAGAATAAAGGGAAAGGAGTCTGGATGAGGCCAAACAGGCAAGTTCCAGGGTTGAAAGCAATGTCCACTTTCCATCTTTGCATTGCTGGTGCAGAGCTCTAAGCAGTCCTGAGCATGGTCCTGTACTACGTGTTCAAAGAGGCTGGGCGGCAACAGCTCTACACAACCCTTTATTTTGTATTTTTAACTGTTTCTTTGTTTTTTTGGTGGTACTAGGAATTGAACCTAGGGCCTCTTGGATGCTTGGTAGCACTGAGTAGCACCCCCAGCTCTCTTTACCTTTTCTAGTTTTATTTTTGGACAAGGTCTCACTAAGTAGTCCAGGTTGACTTTGAACTCACTCTGTAGTTCAGGTAAGCTTTTAAAATTGTTTATTTCATTTATTCTTATTTTATATGTATGAGTGTTTTGCCTCTATGTATGTAAACACACCCATGCATGTAGTACTATGTAGACCAGAAGAGGGTGCTGGATCCCCTGAAACTAGAGTTATGGATGGTTGTTAGCCACCAAGGTGCTGAGAACCACTATGTGGATGCTGGGACTCAAACACTATTCCACCATAAGAGCAGTCAGTGCTCTTAACTGCTGAGCCATCTCTCTAGCCTTACTACCCAGGTAGGCTTCTTAAAAGTATGGATTTATTTTATTTTTAATTATGTATTGTGTGCATGCCCAGGCATGCAGGTGCCTGCAGAGGCACTGGATCCCCTGAATCTGGAATTACAGGTGGTTGTGAGCAGCCCAATGTGGGAGACTACATAGATATGTCACCACACCTGGTCCCTCTCTTGCAATTTAAAAGAAAAATAAAATTTTATGGAATCATGATTTGTTAAGATTTTTCAGGTTGTAGAAACTGCAGCTGGTGATGGAGCTCTGAGCATGTCTACATTGCTGATGACATCATGCAAAAACATGATGGGCTTTTTTCCTGGCAAATATGTAACAAGTAAGGAGCTGAAACTCAGTGAACAGTTCCAAAGAAAAAAATAATTGTCTAATCATCCATTGTCACAAATAGCATACATTTGTTACTTCCTCTGGTTCTGGACTTGTGTTAAGTAAATTCATCATGCAAGGATTAAAGTCAGTCATGGGTAACAGCCCTAATGTTTGAAGTAGACCCTCACATTATCCTCATTTCATAAGAGAAGAAAGAGGGACTTCAGAGTGGAGAAGAAACACAGGGCCTTGAAACAAGCTGTCAAGTCACAGAGCTACGAACAGGTAAGCTGAGATGCAAGTCAGGCCTTTCTGCTCCAAGAGCCAAATGCTACCCATTACACTGTACCTATCCCATGTACTGCTAGTGATAAAAATCAAAATGAAAAGTTGTAAAAGGGGGAGAAATATTTAGCAAGGCTAGTAAACTAAATTGGCATGTTTAACATGACAGAAGCTGTATTGTATAACATGCTGAGTTAGTCTCAGCACTTTGAAGGCTAAAGGAGGAGGATGTAGAGCGTTCAAGGCCATCTGGGGTTGCATGGCCATTTTTCAAAAACAAAGCAATAAACAAATATTGAGTTGTGCAGCAGATTCTGTATTTAAAATTATGAAAGGGGGGCTTGAGAGGTAGGCTCAGTGGTTAAGAACATTGGTTGTTCTTCCAGAAGACCCGGGTTCAAATCCCAGCATCCACATGGCAGCTAACAACTGTCCATAACTCCAGTCCCAGGGGATCCGACAGACTCTTCTGATCTCTGCGGGCACTGCACGACATGGGTGCACTTACCTGGATGCAGGCAATACACGCATATACATAAAATTTTAAAAAATTAAATTAAAAAAATAAATAAAATTATGAAAGGCAGAAAAAATAGAATCTTTAACACTGCCCCAGGTCTAACTATGGAAAATGTACATATCCTCGGGGGTAGGCAGCGGAGAAGATGTTATAACCACAAAGTCTCTGTAGCTAGACACTGTAGTTTGAACTGTAGTTTTTTTTTTAAAAAAAATTTCATTTATTATTTTTATTTTTTATGTGTATAAGTGTATCGCCTGCATGTCTGTAAGTGCACCTCTGTCATGCAATGCCTGAGGAGGTCAGAAGAGGGTATTGGATCCCCTGGGACTAGAGGTATGGATGGTTGTTAGCCACCAAGTGAAGGCTGGGAATTGAACCCAAGTCCTCTGCAAGAACAGCCAGTGCTCTTAATCGCTGAGCCATCTCTCCAGGCCCTCACACTGAAGCTTCTGTTGCTAACCAGCTGTTTACAAGTAACTTGACCTCTCTCTGTGATATAAGTTTCTCATCTCTGAAATGGACCTAATAGATGTGAGTGAGAGGCTTGGATGTGATAGTACATTGTGAAGTCTTTAGAAAGGCACCCATATACCCAAACATTGAAGGTTATTTTTATTTAACTGTGTAAGTTTCTTATTTGCTACAATTTGGAAGTAAAATTTAATGGTGGTGTTTATTTAGAGTTGAATGCACATTGGCTCTTTTCACCACGAAGTTGCCCAAGGTTGAAGGAGGGAGAAGAGAGCGTGCACACATGCATGAGAGATCAGTCTAGCTCCCCAGAAAGAGTGACAGGTGGGACAAGTCTCTGCACGAATACCTTTGATAGTGGTTTGAGAGAGGGTCTCTAACTACACCAAGGCTGGCCTGGAACTCACCATCCTTCTGCTCTATTCTCCCAAGGAGTGGGATTACAGGCACACACCACTACGCAGGGCTCTGAATTCACACTTTAAAAGGTTATTTATGGGGGGGCCTGGTGGTGCAGGCCTGTAATCCTAGCTACTCAGGAAGCTGAGACCACTGGAACATGAATTTAAAGCCTACCTGGGGGCTGGAGAGATGGCTCAGCAATTAATAACATTTACTGCTCTTCCAGAGAACCCAAGTTCGGTTCCCAGCATCCACATCAGGAGGCTCATAACCATATGTGACTCCAGCTCCCATGTCCTCTGGACTCTGAGGGTACCCACAGAGACAGGCAGACAGACAGATAGGCAGACAGACACACACACACATGAACGCAAAAATAAAAAAAAAGAAGTTTTTAAAAATATAAGCACCTAAGTAAATAAATAGCAAAAAAAAACTATGTGGGAATTTTAATCTTTTGTTTTTGTTTTTGCTTTTTTTTGAAACAGAGTCTCTTGTAGTCTAGTCTGGAATTGAACTCATTATGTAGCAAAGATGACTATGAATCTCTGATCTTCCTGCCTCTGCCTCCTAAGTGCTGGAGTTATAGGTTTGTTCTGTCATGCTAGGTTGGCTACATGCTTTTATTTTTATTTTTTTATTTAATTTTATTTTTTGAGACAGTGTCTCACTATGAAGTCCTGGCTAGCCTGGAACTTGCTATGTTGACCAGGCTGACCTTGAACTCAGAGATCCGACTGTCTCTCCCTCTGTCTCTGCGTGGGCCTCCAAGCCCAACTAACTATGCATTTTTATGTGAGATGATCTACCCTGTGTTTCTTTGTTGATAAGAACATACTTCTACTTCCCTTTACATTTCAAGGAAGCTGTGTCCACCACATTTACTATATACACTACCCACTGCTTTACCTTTTATGTTTATTTGATTTCACATTCTAGTACATAAACATTTGTAAAAACTCTTACCTGGTTAAAGCAAATAATTATCTGAATCATAAATAAAAACATTGACTGGGCTGGAGAGATGGCTCAGTGGGTAAAGACACTTATTACTCTTCCAGTTCCCAGCACCCACATCAGGCAGCTCACAATAGTATGGAACTGAGGTTCCAGTCGATCTGATACACTCTGGACTCCGAGGGCACCTGCATGCATGTGGTACACATAAATTCATGCAGGCACACACATATAGATATAAATAAAAAATAAATCTGAAAGGGATTTAAAAAAAATTATATATATATATATGTAGATGTAATCTACATATATATATATTTTTTTGGGGGGGGTCTTTTTTGAGGTAGGGTCTCCCTGTAGCCCCAGTTAGCCTGGAACTCGCTATGTAGACCAGGCTGGCCTTGAACTCACAGAGATCCACCTGCCTCTGCCTCCCCAGTGCTGGGATCAAAGGCGTGCGCCACCATGCCTGTCAATAATTTTTTTTAAATCTTGGGTTTTGAATCTATTCCTCTTATTACTGGTGACAATTTTTAAGTGCTTTAACTGGGGACTTACTAGAATCATAGCAGGGCAACTTTACTGGGCTAAATCCACAATTCATCTTCTTTGGGTTGCTTTATGTAAGCTGCAAATTAGAAATAAGGGTAAACTCTTTCCAGATATTGATATCCATCCACCTGAAACAACATTAGTTTAATGCTGATTTATTTCCTCCTGTTCTGGCTTGTCTTGATAGGGTTTCTATAATGGAGTAATCCCTTTTATGGTCTCTTCATAAAATTCTCTGCTTTCTGACCCACTATAGTTTTGACATCCATGGTTTTGTAATGTGCAGTGGTGATAATTAGAACTCATTTGCCAGACTAAAAGCATCAGTAACACAGGGCGCACAAAGAACTGTGTGCATGCAGTAACCAACACCTAGGAAACTGGATGCAACTGGTATTATTGCTGCTTAGCTTACTGGGTTTCTTCTGAAAATATGCAAGAATGCTTTTTAAAAGGCTGCTCTAGCTGTGTTCCTATTTCCAGACCCTCCTCTACTCAGGCTGATGTGTAAGGGTATTTATAAACTTCATTGGCATTATGTAAACATTATAGATGGTAATAAATGCTTCATACTGCACCACTGAAATTATCAGGCTGACGGTTGGTCTGAGAAAAAGAGGCCCAGCTTTCATTTAAAGAGTGAGCCAAATTGCTGAAAGAAGGCTCTAGCGTGTAATTTAATGAATGTAATGAGACGGCTGGAGCCTGATGGAACTTCATTTGAAGTAGTCCATTCCATCCTGAAAGACAGATCCCCTTTAACATTCTAATGCTGAAGGCAAGCTTTCTTAACTTTGTTCATAAGCTAAGTCCAAATGGTACATTCAGTCTGACATTTACAGGAGCTAACATTATATTCTTATATTTTAACTGCCTGGAGCATAATTTTGACTCAAACGAAACTTTGTTTTTAAAAAATTATCTCTTTTGGCCACCTTCCAATAGAAAGCTTTTAAACTGTGGGCCATTAAATTAAAAAGGGAGAATGAGTGAGTTGGGAACAATTTAGAAATATCACTTCATGTGTAACATGAGGAGAACCCTTTTTAGGCTTTTTCCTGGTACGCCTGCCTGCCCTCTTCTTTATATCTACAAAGCAATGTTCAATTAAAACTACCCTCTGTAGCAGGGTATGGTGGCGCATGCCTTTAATCCCAGCACTTGGGAGGCAGGGGCAGGCAGATCTTTGTGAGTTCGAGGCCCGCCTGGTCTACATAGTGAGTTCCAGGACAGCTGGGGCTACAAGGAGACCCTGTCTCAAAAAAGACAAAAACAAAACAAACAAACAAACAAACAAAAAAAAAAAACTACCCTCTGTAATTGTTCATTGATTCATCTACTTTCTGGCTTGTAAAACATTTTCTTCTCAGTATGTTCAGTATTAAAAGCCATTTTGTTGATCTAAAGCACTTTTAAGTATAGGGATTATATAGTATTCCTGATGATGCTGCTTTTTTAAAAAGAGTTAATTTTGAAAATGAAACCAGTATCTAAAACACGGGTCTGCAAACCACATACCAAATCAATCCATAGCCTGGTTTATAAGTAGTTTTAGTAGGACACAGTCATGACTGACTGTTTTATGTATTAGCCATGGATGATATGTGCTAAAATGGTATTCTCAAATGGTTGATACAGCCAGGCGTGGTGGTGCATACCTTTGATACCAGCATTCAGGAAGCAGAGGCAGGCAGATTTCTGTGAGATCTGGTCAGCTTGGTCTACATAGTGGGCTCCAGGAGAGCTGGGGCTACAAAAAGACCCTGTCTCAAAAAACAAAAACAAAAAACAGAGGTTAGATGCAAGGAAAGTGAATTATCTCACATGGATGGCATCCTACTATATATGTTACAGAACAGAGGAAAAGACAGCGCCAATTTCTGTAGCTTCTCAGAGCTAAAAGCGATCAGATACCACTAACATTGCACTACCCCATTACATAACAGGGCTGGCACTGTAGCTCCCTGGTAGAGTTCTTGCCCAGTATGTTCAAAGCCCTAGATTTTATCCCTAGCATCATACACGTGCATGTACACACACACGCACATGCACACACATACAACCGAACACATGCACAAAACAAGCATGGTTGAAATATATTCATGTAACTCCAATGTGAATTCAGTTAGTCATTGTGTTCAATACACAATTTTAAAATTTATATTACTTAACGGCTAATTTCCAAAGGAATCCTATTTTTTTTTTTTGGTCTTTTTGAGACAGGGTCTCCCTGTAGCCCCACCTGTCCTCTTGAACTC